GGAATTCAGGATGGTACCCACTTGATTTAAAGTGTTGGATACCTAAACTATCCATGACCTCCTTAAATAGTTTGGTAGTAAAATTAGACCCTTGGTCTAATTGAATCTCCCTAGGTAGGCCATAACTGGTAAAGGAAGCAAACATTCCTCCACAACCTTTTTTTGCCTTGACATTCTGTAATGGGATTGCCTCTGGAAATCTGGTAGACGCATCCATTATGGTTAGCAAATACTGGTTCCCACTTTTGGTTTTAGGGAGGAGAGCTACACAATCAATCATAACACACATGAAAGGTTATTCAAATGCGGGAATTGGCACTGGTTTTATTGCTGCCTGTGGTTTTCTTACTATTTGACATGTATGACAGGTTTGGCAAAATTCAAACACATCTTTATGTAACCCAGGCCAATAGAAATGCGTGAGTCTTCCTCACTCTTAGATGACCTCCTACAGGTAATTTATGTGCTACCTGCAATACCTCCTGTCTGTATGCTACCAGTAACACAATCTGGTGAACGTCCGACCATTTCTCCTCTGCATTAACCTGACAAGGTCTCCATGTCCGCCTTAGGGTCCTATCCTTAAGGTAATAATGTTCTGGAATACATTCGGGTTCCTTTTCCAAGTAGACTTTATGATAGAAATCTTTTATTGTCTCATCTTTTTGTTGTAACTCCATTAGTCTTTCAGAACTAAACACCTCTGCCTAATCCTCAACCTGCTTAGGTATTTCCTTTACCATTTCATTGAACAGGGTGTCAGCTAACTGGACGTCAACTCCTTTGTCTTTCTCTTTGGTTTTCCTTTCTTGCTTTAACGTATGACTATGGGATCTTGTCACCACACAGTCCAGAAAAATTCCAGGATATTGTTCTTTTAACTGTTCAGTTTCCTGGTTTTCTTTCAGCCTCTCCACTGCAATGGGCATCACTTCCACTTTTCATCCAGCTAGGTTGTTTCCAAGAACAGACTGTATTCCTTGAATAGACACTCTTTCAAACAGTCCCCAGTAACTTCATTGGACTTTCCAGCCTTATCTTACAGAGGGGAACACGAAATCTCTCTCCGTTTTTTCCCCACATTATCAGTCTCTGGGGTAATATTTCAAAAGAAGTGCAAACACTTTTATCTCTCACTATTGGTGGCTAACCAGCTCCCGTATCTCTCAACATTTTAACTCTTTACCTTCTCCCCTTGTTCTTCCTGAGTAAACCTTTCCACACAGGTGAAGTCTTTGAAGAGATCGGGCACTATCTGACTTTCCAGCCTGTGACTAGGCTGTGCACTGTCCTGCAGCTCCTTGATTTCTCTTGGTGTTTCCTTCACTGCTTCAACTAATCCCACTGGTTTAGCCTATTTTACCACATGTTTTTCCCAGTCCCTCTCATAATCCACCAGCACTGTGACTTTATGTGTCCCCCTCTATTACATTGGAAACACCTGAGGCCTTTCACTTATTTCCCAACCTCTTGGGTTTCTTTTTTCACATGCGGTAAACTGTTCCCAGTGTGATCTTCTTTTTGTTTTTCGTTGAAAGATCTCCCTTTTTCCCAATTTCTACCCCTCAAGGAATGAAATTGCTGTCGGAAGCTAAATTTCGATTTATACACTAATGCCTATTCATCCGCAATCTCTGCAGCTCTTCTTACTGTTTTAACTTTCTGTTCCTCAACATGAGATCTTATCATTTCTGGAAGCAAGTTTTTGAACTCCAGCAGAATAATCTCTCTAAGATGCTCATATGTCTTTTCTACCTTAATCCTCTCACCCATTTATCAAACTTGCTATGTTTAATTCTTTCAAATTCAACATAAGTCTGACCTCGTTCCTTCCTTATATTTCTGCACCGTTGTTTATATGCTTCTGGTACTTTTTCATATTCTCTTGACACCTCATTTGACAGCACTGCAAACACCTCACTAGCCCTACCTACCAACTTGAACTGAATTAACATTACCACGCAGTCTATATGTGTGAGGCTGGAAAAGCACAGCAGGTCAGACAGCATCCGAGGAGCAGGTAAGTCAGTATTTAAGGCCGAAACCCTTTGTCAGGACTGGGGAGGTGGAGGGGAGCCTAGAAATAAACAGAGCGAGAGGGTTGGGGCTGGGAGAAGGATAGGAGAGATGCTGATAGGTGGACGCTGGAGGGGCTTATTGTGATTGGTCCGTGGGAAGGGTGGAGCAGATTGGTGAGTGGGAAGATGGACAGGTCAGGAAGGAGAAGGCTGGACATGGGATAAGGCTGGGGTTGGAGAGATTTTGAATCTCGTGAAGTCAATGTTAAGGCCGTTGGGCTGTAAGAAACCAAGGTGAAATATCAGATGTTGTTCCTTCAGTTTATGTTTGGCCTCACTTTGACAGTGGAGGAGGCCAAGGATGGACATGTCATCAAGGAAGTGGAAGGGGGAATTACAATGGAAGCAACTGGAAGGTCGGGTTTGTTGTTGCGTGCAGAGCACAGATGCTCCATGAATCGATCCCCGAATCTGCGTTTGGTCTCCCGATACAGACGAGACCACATCGGGAGCAACAGATGCAATAGATAAGGTTTGATGAAGTGCAGGTGAATCTCTGCTGGATCTGGAAGGATTGTTTTGGACCTTGGACGGAGGTGAGAGGGGAAGTGTGGGGGCAAGTGTTGTACCTCTTGCGGTTGCAGGGAAAGGTGCCGGGTGTGGTGGTGGAATTGGTGGGGAGTGTTGAGCTGACGAGGGAGTCGCAGAAGGAATAGCCCTGTGGAAAGTGGACAGGGGTGGGGAGGGAAATATCTGTTTGATGGTGGGATCTGATTGTAGGTGGCAGAAATGTCAGAGGATGATGCATTGGATCCGGAGGTTGGTGGGGTGGTACGTCTTCTACCTTCATTTCCATCCTTTTAAATTGACTTTCCTGAATTTCTGAATTTCAGACTCTCTCTCTTTGTCCCTTTCTTCTCTCTTTTTCTCTCTTTCTTCTCTCTCTCCTTTTCTTCTCTCTCTTTTTACCTTTCTTCTTTCTCTTTTTCTTTTTGTCTTTCCTCTGTTTGTAACCGTAATTCAAACCATTACAATTCTCTTTCTTTCTCTTTTTCCCCATCTAATTCCAATTTTCTAATTTTCAATTTAATTTTTTTTAACTCCACTGCACTAGCCTGTTTCTCTGGTTTACCTAAATGTTTGACTAGCTTGTTTACAATTTCAGCTTTCCCTTTATCCCTACTTAAACCCAAATCTAGCCTGTTTGCTAAGTCTAAAAGTATATCCTTCATCTGTTCTTCTAAACTTTCTTGTCAAATTTGGGAAGAGTCCTCAAACCCCAGAAGATCTTTAGCAATGTTAAGAGCCATTTCCCCCACTTTTGATTTAACCAACCACAAGTAACCGAAATTAAACAGATCTTCCACTTCTCACCTAAGTTTTATTTGAAGATCTAGGACCCTAATCCCCAAGTCTGTTTAACTCTTCTGGGACCTTTCATACCCCAAATCTGTTCAAACCTGTCCAAATACATTCAGATCCCATACACAAACCGGCCAGATCCTGGACTTGAGCTCCCAATCTAGCCACTCCCCCCCATCCCTGCTGAAGGAGAGCTCGAACCCCCTTCTGATAACTAAAATGAAAACACCCAGAGAAGTTCGCCTCACCTCATAATCTCTTAAGAGGAGTGTGAGAAGAGGTATAACCTGCCTCTCACCCCCCAATCTGATATAAAAGGAGTGGTTAAATAAAATAAAATCTTTTCATTCACTCTATAATCACCAAGTAACAATTTATTTATCTAACTCTAACAGTGAACAAATTAACGGAACTATTAACAAACCAAACAATTCCCTCTTAACTACTAACTATTATTGAATAAACAAAATTCTAATGGCATGCTGTTCTAATGAATAGAAGTCCCACTTATATAAACCAAAGTAATAAGAAAAAATAAATTAAAACTTAGTTTCTCAAAATCATAGCCAGGCTAAGTCTTCCAGAATGCTCTGTGCTCTGTCCACTCATCCTCAGTCAGGAACACCTTTCTGTGTTGAATTCTTGTGTCAGGAATATTAGCTAAGAGTGCCACTGTACCTTTAGTTTAGAAGATGTTTTTTTTGAGAGCTTAGAGAATTCTGTGAGAGCCAATGATTGTTTCTTTTATAGCTGAGAACTGTTCTCTTGGCAAATGACAGTTCACTCTCACACTGATTTTCAAATGGCCTCCTCCTTTATACCCTTGATGACCTATTAATTCCTTACAATAGGATTGGTCCTAGGTTGTCAAAACCATCAGATCTAAATTCAATTGGGTTTTGGTATCAATGTCTAGTTTAAATTAATTAGCTAAATTCAAAAACCTGTTACCTTAGTAAAAATGCTGCTTTACTTGCTAACACTATAGCCTTTTGATACAATGTTTCAATTTCAAAACTCTCTGTGCATCTGCTGCTGCTTGCAGAATGTTTTTTAATCTCCAAGCCTAAAACAACCCATCATCTTTTAAAGGGATTAAGCACTCATCACCCCCTATAATTTTAAAATGTAAAATACTCCACCCAACTTTGCAACAGTAAGGAGTTATTGTGAAGAGCAGGTACAGACTTTAATTTATTAATACAGAGACCGGTTACAGCCTGCGATATATTATTTTAGAATACATAAAAACACACTGTAAGGAATTATTACAGAGTGTAGTTACGAACCGTAATTAATATTATAGAGTACTGTTAGTGAGTTAGAACAGAGTAGATGTTGGAATACATGAACAGGCTTGAACGGAATAATACAGGCTGTAATGAATTATTTTAGAAAACATTTTCAAACTGCAGTGATTTATGATGAAGTGCATCTTAAGGCTGTGATGAATTATAAGAGACTAACAGACTATAATCAATTATTGCAGAGAGCAGTAAAAGACATAAGGAATTACTAAAGACATCAGTCAAAGATTCGAATGAATTATTGCAGAAAGCAGTTATGACCAGTTCCAGCCTCCAGTGAATGATTTCTTCTTACTTCTCTCTTTTCTTCCAGATGCCAGCATGTATGCACATTACCTCTTCAATGCTTTTGACAGTGCCCATAATGGATCCATAAAATTCGAGGTAACTCTTCTTCCATGATAACTGGCCACTGCATGATGAAGATTGGCAACAGTGTTTACACTGAATACAGAATGGAACAATGATTAAACCCAACGAAGTGTGAGGGAGCTGGATAAACACCAATAAAGATACAGTCCTTAACACAGGACTCTGGGAGTTACTGAATGACAATGTGAGCAGCTGGATTAATGTCAGCAGAGATACAGACAGTAACACAGGACTTTGGTTGGAGAGAGGTTAGTGAGTGACAGTGTGAGAGAGCTGGATTAACATCAGTTGAAATAGTCACTATTACAGGGTGCTGTGTCAGCATTATGTCTGCACTCCACATTAGTGGTGCATTTGTGGAGAATGACTGAGAGATTCCACACAGCTCACCTATCGCTCCTTGGAAGGAGCCAGTCACATGGAAGTTCAAAGCTGCAGTGGCCTTCGCAGCCACAAGGAGGGGATGATCCCCAACTCCTGCAGCCTTTTCAGGTCCAGCTCTAGAATCTGACACAGTTCCATTACAGTGTTTCGGGACATATGGACCCAGGCCAACACTGTGCCTCACTCATCCCCAGGAAATGCAGATAGGGATAAAAATCTTCGGCCCTCCTGTGCATCCCACACATTCTGAGTGTCCTTGCAGTTACAAATTCTCCTTGATCTGGGTGCCTTTTGGCCTCCTGCTGGCCCTGGGCTTGCCTTCGACCCCTCCTTCCCTCATCTGCTAGAGGAAGGCAGCTACAGCAACCACCACCCCATTAGCAGCTGGGCATTGGTCCCATGCTGGAAATAACCCATTTTGTGAAACAGAGGTTATCATCTCTGAGAACAGTCAGTGGTCGTATACTCCATAGGTAAGGGCTACACACACGCCTCCACACAGTGAGATAGGCTGCACCCCAATAACGAGGGCCATATCTTCGATATTCTCTCAGCTTCAGCCTCACCTTGGATACCAACATAGTGAAGGTACTGCTCTGGCTGGGTGACCAGCGCATTACATCAAAAAGACACTTCCTGCTGCGCTCTGATCCCCTTCCCATCTCAAACCCTCATCAGCCATGAAATGTAGTGGATCACAAGTGGGTAATGCGGTCAATAGGTGAATGGCATGCTTGCTTTCATCGGTTGGGGCATAGAGGATAAAAATTGGCAAGTCATCTTGCAGTTGTATAGAACTTTAATTTGGCCACATTTGGAATATTGCATACACTTCTGGTTCCCACGCTACAAGATGGATGTGGAAACTTTGTGGAGGCTATAGAAACAGTTTACCAGGATGTTGCCTGGTTTGGAGGATATTAAATATGAGGAGAGATTGGTCAGATTGGTGAGATTGATCGGATGCATGGTCGGAGTCTTTTTCCCAAGGTGGAAATGTCAATTACTAGGAGACCTAGGTTTAAGGTAAAAAAGGAGAAAGCTTAAAGGAGATAAGAGAGGCAAATTTTTTACATGGAGATTGGTAAGTGTCTAGAATGTGCTGCCAGAGGAGATGATGAAGTTGGATACACTAACAACATTTAAGAGGCATCTAACAGAAATATGAATAGGAAGGGAATAGAGGGATACGGATTGTGTACAGGCAAAATATTTTGAGTTTAGAAAGGCATTGGGTATCGGTGCAGTCTTGATGAGCCGAAGGGCCTGTTCCCGCACTACTGTTCTTTGTTTTTGCTCTTTGTAACATTGCATTCAGTGAAGAAGATCATGATACTTACTTGACAGAGGATGGAGAATATTTCCCTCCTTCCACAGCTTGAGTAATGGGTCATCATTAGCCAGAACTAGCCATTTTTTTTAAAAAAACTGAAAGAACTGCGGATGCTGTAAATCAGGAACAAAAACAGAACTTGTTGGAAAAGCTCAGCAGATCTGGCAGCATCTGATGCTGCCAGACCTGCTGAGCTTTTGTAGCAACTTCTGCTTTTTTTAAGCCTTTTTTTAAGTTATTGATGCTCACTTCACCATCATTGAGATGTCAATGTTCACTTTGCAATCACTAATGGCATGTGGAGATGATAGCTTAGTGGTATTTTCACTAGACTATTAATCTAAAACCTGGGAAATGTTCTGGAGACCTAGGTGGAAATCTCTAGAATCATAGAATCGCTACAGTGTGGAAACAGGCCATTTGGCCCATTGAATCAGAGGGCAGCAGAGACACCACTGAGAGGATTTTGGGAGACGGCACTGCAGTCACCACAACTGGGTAGCGGATTGCAACAGAACACCCTCATTGATTGATGCTGGGAAGAATATCGAACCAGAAGGTGGCAGAGACACCTCTGAGAGGTATTCTGGGAGACGGCACTGCAGTCACCACGACTGGTCTGAATATTGCAGAGGAAGTGGTGTAAAGGAGTGTTAAACCTGAAACACTACATTATTGTAGTGTTCCACTGTCACCCATGCCCCCCACCTCTAACCAAAAAAAAAACATTGTAATGAGGACAGACAAGCTAAACAAAGGTGGAGATGGCAGTTAGGGCAGTGGTATGCTCCTCCTGCTAGATGTGGAAAATCAGGCAGCATCCAGTGTCTCTGGCACCTACATCTACAGGTGTGACCAGCTGCAGCTCCTCACAGACCACGTGGTTCAGTTGGAGAAGCAGCTGGACACCCTGCGGTGCATACAGAGGGCAGAGAGAGTGATAGATTCTAGCTTTAGGTAGGTGGTATCACCACAGGTCCAGGCAGATAGGTGGGGTACCGCCAGGGGAGGCAGGCAGGTAGTGCAGGAATCTCCTGTGGATATTCCCCTCTCAAACAGGTATACCGTTTTGGATACTGTTGCGGGTATAGCCTCTCAGGAGACAGTACAAGCAGCTGTCAGGCCTGTGGCACCACAACTGGTTTTGCTGTATAGCAGGATTGGACAAAGTCCAGGCGAGTGATAGTAGTAGGTGACTCGATAGTCAGGGGCAGAGACAGGTGTTTCTTTGGCCGTGAATGAGACTCTAGGATGGTGTGTTACCTCCCTGGTGCCAGGGTCCTGGATGTCTCAGAGCGGGTACAGGACATCCTGAAATGGGAGGGAAAACAGACAGAAGTCATTGTCCACATTGGCACAAATGACATAGGTAGGAAGAGGGAAGAGGTCCTGCGAGGACAATTCAGGGAGTTAGGTAGGGAGCTGAAAAGCAGGACTACCAGTGTAGTAATCTCAGGATTACTACCCATGCCACGAACTAGTGAGACTAGGAACAGAGAGAGAGTATAGTTGAACATGTGGCTATAGAGCTGGTGTAGGAGGGAAGGCTTTAGATATATGGATCATTGGGATGTCTCCTGGGGAGGGTGGGACCTGTACAAGAAGGACGGATTGCTCCTGAATTGGTAGGGCACCAATATCCTGGGTGGGAGGTTTGCTAGATCTCTTCGGGAGCGTTTAAACTGGTGTGGCAGGGGCATGGGAACCAGAACAACAGGCCAGTAAGTGCAGGGAGTGGGACAAAGGAGAGACTGAGATATACATAGCACAGAGTAAGAGCAGGCAGAGGGTAGTTGCGGGGCTCAGAGGGACTGGAGGTCGGGAGTGCATTTACTTCAATGCAAGAAGTATAACAGGTAAGACAGATGAACTAAGAGCATGGATTACTGCATGGAACTATGATGTTATTGCCATTACGGAAACACAGTTAAAGGAGGGCCAGAACTGGCAGCTTAACATTCCAGGGTATCGCTGTTATTATATCGCTGTTATTGGATAGAAAGGGAAACAAAAGGGGTGAGTGAGTTGCATTGCTGATTAGGTTTCACATCACAGCTGTGTTGAGGGAGGATACATCAGAGGGATCATGCAGTGAGGCATTATGGGTGGAGCTCAGGAACAGGAAAGGTGAAATCACAATGTTGGCAGTTTTCTATAGACCTTCCAACAGCCCACGTGAGACAGAGGCGCGGATATGTAGTCAGATACGAGAAAGTTGTAAAAAAAAGCAGGGCAGTTGTGGTGGGTGGATTCAACTTTCCTCTTCTTGACTGGGAATCCCTTACAGCCAGGGGCTCAGATGGAGAGCAATTTGTTAGATGTATCTAGGAGGGCTTTTTGAGACAGTATGTTGACAATCCAACCTGAGAGGAAGCCATACTGGACTTGATATTAGGGAATGAGCCAGGACAAGTGATTGATGTTTCAGTAGGAAAGCATTTTGGACTTAGTGACCGTAACTCCATAAGATTTTGAGTCGTCATGGTCAAAAACAAGAGTGGCCCTTGGGTAAGTGTGTTTAATTGGGCAAGGTCCAAATACATCCGAATTAGACAAGAATTGGGGAATGTGGATTGGGAGCAGTTATTTGAAGGCAAATCTACATCTGGCATGTGGGATGCTTTTAAAGACCAATTGATTAAAGTGCAGGACATGCATGTCCCTGCAAAACTGAATGATAGGAATGGCAGGATCCAGGAACCATGGATGACAAGGGAAATTATAAACTTAGTCAAAAGGAGAAAGGAAACATAGAATAGGTCTAGGCAGCTACAAACTGACGAAGACCTTGAGGAGTATAGAGAAATTAGGAAGGAACTTAAACACACAATTAGGAAGGCTAAAAGGGGGCATGAAATGTCTTTAGCAAACAAGATCAAGGAGAATCCCAAAGCTTTTTATGCAAATATTAGAAGAAAGAGGGTAGCAAGGGAAAGAGTAGGCCCCCTCAAGGACAAAAGAGGGAAGTTATGCGTGGAGTCACAGGAAGTAGAAGAGATCCTTAATAAATACTTTGTATTGGTATTCACCAAGGAGAAGGACATGATAATGTTGAGGTCAGCTATGAGTAAAAGGAGGAAGGTTTGGGTATCCTAAATTGCATTAAGGTAGACATGTCCCCAGGGCCAGATGGGATCTATTCCAGCTTACTGTGAGAGGCAAGGGAAGAAATAGCTGGGGCATTAGCACATATCTTCACATCCTCCTTGACCACAGGTAAGGTTCCAGAGGACTGGAGATGAGCCAGTGTTGTTCCCTTGTTTAAGAAAGGAAGCAGGGATAATCCAGTAAATTA